ATGAGACTGATCAAGGAGGATACAGTCATCCCGCTAACAGGTTGATATTGAGAAGTGAAATGGCCTCAGTGTGGAAATGAAACTATACATGAAAATTACTTTCAGCAAAGAAAGTAATTAGTTTCATGCTTGACGTATATCATCCAGTCTCCTAACTTAAAGCTTTTTAAAAAACTCTTTTATTCCTGGATGCTTCCTTAGTTTTTCTAATACAGATAGTCCTTGACTTACAACAGTTCATTTAGTGACATTTCAAAGTTGTAATAGCACTGAAAAAGGTGACATGATGTTTTTTTACACTTTTGACCGATGCAGCATCCCCATCGTCATGTAATTAAAATTCAAATACTGGCATCTGACTCATATCTATAATGGTTTCAGGGTCCCAGGGTCATGTGATCACCTTTTGTGAGTTTCTGACAAGCAAAGCCAATGGGAAAACTAGGTTCTCTTAATAACCATGTTTCTGTATTAACAATTGCAGTAATGCACAATTTGGCAAGAAAGGCTATAAAATAGGGCAAAATGAGGCAAAACTCAACAAATATCTCACTTAACAACAGAAATTTGGGCTCAGTTGAGGTTGTTAAGGACTAACTGTTTTGGGGTTAGAAATATTTATCTAAATATAAAAACTAAATTTCAATTTTTTTCCTCCATTCTGCCCAGCATTTTCATGTTTTATTTAAAAAAATACTTGTCACAAATGGCTGTCAGTGAAAAGGATACAGAGGGGCAAAATAACCTGCTCCATTTCATTAAGGTAAAGGTTCCCCTCGCACTTATGTGCTAGTCATTCCTGACTGTAGATGGTGATGCTCATCTCCATTTCAAAGCCAAAGAGCCAGGGCTTTCCAAAGATGTCTCCAGCATGACTAAAGGCTGAAGGCACACAGAACACTGTTACCTTCCCACCAAAGGTGGTTCCTATTTTTCTACTTGCATTTTTACACGCTTTCTAACTGCTAGGTTGGCAGAAGCTGGGACAAGTAACAGGAGCTCACTCCGTTTCGTGGCACTAGGGAGTCGAACCACTGAACTGCCAACTTTTCTGATCGACAAGTGCAGCGTCTTAGCCACTGAGCCACCTTCTTAACCACTTAGCCACTACATCCCTTCTTAGTCACTGAACCCTTCCATTTCATTAGTGGTGTCCAAAAAGAGAGTAGAAGAAGGACCCACCTTTTGATTTTTGGTGGCAACAAAAGGGAAGAGTGTTTAGATCAGAATACATGATTTATCTGTAGGATGCCCTAATTTCAGACTCAGTTTTGCCAAGGATAAGTGGATAGATTTTGACACCTGCATTTATTTTGGTAATTTATTTATTTAACTTAAACCAAATTTATTTTATTGATTTAAATTGGTTTTTTTTAAATTTGGGAATTGTAAGCCATCCAGAGTCCCTTGGTTGAGTTGGGTGGCTATAGAAATTGAATAAATACAGTTGGTTTAAATAGAATAATGATGTAATGCAGATTCTTATGTTCTGATACTGTATCAGAAGGGCTAGTTAAAATATTGGATTTTTCCTTTTTTGTTCCTGGGTTAATTAACCTTTGACAAAAAAGAGCCCTTGACAGCTACAACGAAGCCCAGGTGTGTTTATCTTTCTATCAAAGAAGCATACTTGAATCTTTCTTTCTAAGCATGCTTTTAAAAAGTAACTCTTAGCTTAGTCCTAAACACTTTTCCTTGGAACTCTTTATAAACTTTCAATTTTGTGAATAAAGATGTTTCTTGATTTCGTAGTTCTATAAAAGAAAAATTACGGTAATTGGCATTTTTGCAAGTGCAACTGTTTATTTTTTTAAAAAATTATTAGCCTAAAACAAAATTAAATCTATGTATATTGAGTTATATCTTTAGATTAAAATATATTCAGAAATAAAGATGTATAATCAATATGTTAGCATATATTTATTTTCATTTTTAATTTATATCCTGCCTTTATTTTTTTTATAAATAGCATACCTAATACTTCTTTCTCCGCCTATTTTCCCTACAGCAACCACAACCCTGTGAAATGAGTAGAGCTGACAGAGAGTGACAGAGGTCACCCAGCTGGCTTTCATGCCTAAGGCAGATCTAGAACTCGCCATCTCCCATTTTCTAGCCTGGTGCCTTAATCGCTAGAGTCTAGATCAGTGTTTCCCAATCTTGGAAACTTGCATTCGCTGGCTGGGGAATTCTGGGAATTGAAGTCCAGACATCTTCAAGTTGCCAAGGTTGGGAAACACTGCTCTAGATCAAACTGGCTCTAGATATCCTGGACCCATGCCATGTAGAGCTTTAAATGTAGCAACTAGCACCTTGAGTTGGATCTGGAAACAAACTGGTATCCAATGCAGCTCACACAGTACCATTAGATGTATGGCCCTAGGGATTCCCAGGACTGTGTATAGCTTGCAAATACATGGATAGCCCCATGTAGAGCACATTCCAGTAATCCAGATGAGAAATGAGTAGGGTGCAGGGACTCACGATCCAACTAAGGACACAACTGGTGGACAACACCATTGATCTGTGTTACAGAATATAGAAAGACTGACAGTATTGCCTCTTTTCTTCTTAGATCAAAGCACGTCAAAGCACGATCATTTTCACTTTCCTTCTAACATTTTCCTCCTTTCCTAGGCTTAATTCATGTTTTCCTAACTGCCTCCATTGCATTCTTTCTCCAAGGTTATTTCGGTAGTTCTCTAGACATGAATCTAAGTCAATGCCCTTAGATTTTCTACAGACTTCCAAAACACTGCATAAGCTTGTCTGAATTTTTAAAGGAATTCACAAAAGTTCCTCTGTTGGCATAACCAGCCCTGCCTTTAGGCAGAATGAGATAGTTCCCTCAGGTAATAGATACTGGAAATCAGGAAATGTAATTAAGTGATAGAGGGCAAAGATGTTTGTGCCACACAGTTAATTCTGTAGCCAGAAGCTAGACTGACCTGTTCATATGCTTATATGGTGGTCTGTTAAACTTGAGAGTTCTGGTAATTTTATATGGATTTTAAACAAAATTCTGCTTTTATGTTACTTGCTTTTCTATTAACAAATGGTAGAATGGTATAAAAAGTGTCTAGTTCATAGCATTTGCCACAATTAAAATATTAAAATAAATTATTTTAGTGATCTAACTTTTTTAAGTTGAAGCAGAATTCCCAAAGAATAGTAGAGATTTCAGCAGCTATTAAATAGGACCCCCTAGCCAATGTGTGTGTGTGGGGGGGAATTCATTGGCTCAATGTTGTAAAACCTATCTTGGGTAGAACTCTATTAATATGTAATTAGACATAGTTAAAAATGAAATGGTCTTAGACTCTGACTTTAAAAAAACCCTAAAAAAATCAAACTGACATGTAAATTTAAAGTTTTGTGGTCTTGTGATTTATCCAGCATGTGGTTAATGAGTAGTCATTGGTAATCATGCATAAAGAAAACTATGCACCTCTGGTTTTGCTATCTTAAGTTATTACCCCTAATAGGTACTATCCACATGTCTTGAAATCTACTTTCCATGGTATTTATATTTACAGTTTTATTGTTTAACTTTCATTCTCGCCTTTATTTTTGCAAGTAACGACTTGTTTCACTGAAGGAAATTATAGAGAAAGCAGAATAGTAGGAACTGAGAATCTGCTTTTGCGTTGCCAGGGGTATGGGGAGAAATTTTGTATTTGCATAAATGCCTTAAGACATTGGGGGGGGGGTTGCATACTTTTTGAAGTTTCAGTGACTGATAAATAATACTCATGCAAATAAGGATTGAATTATGGATCCAAACTGTTAAATTGCATTAGTGTATTTCATTATATAAAATAAGAGACTTATGGAGTGGCCAAGGGTGCTAGACATGTTGTAATTTTTCCAGCAAATTAATATCATTAATTAATATTGTTGCACATATCAGGAATTGAAATATATCTTCTTTAAAAAGCACCCTATCCTCAATCTCTAGCATTGGAACGGATAAGATATTTTCAGATTACTTGGGATCTATTTTCAGTGAATAACAAATATGAGCAAATGCAAAAAATGGACACCTTTAATTGCTAGTGCATGATCCAGAAAAAGATAGTCTTGATTAAGATAAAGCGTGGACAAAGGATAATGGTGAAGTTTTCAAATTAAATAGCAGACATAAAACTATTATCATCAATACTACAGAACTGCAGGGTAAGATTTGAGCCTTAAAACTTTAAACTTTACCTCCCTGGGCAAGTTTGTATACATAGCAATGGAATACATTAGCATTGGGGCAGGGGTGGTTTCTGGCTGCTGCTACTGCCAGTTCACTCAGGGATGTGCTGCGGGCGCGCAAGCACTATGCGCGCATGCGCAGTACTATAAAAATGGTTCTACACATGTGCAGAAACAAAAAATAAGATGGTGCCGCCTATGGCGCCACCAAGAGAATCAGTTCTGGGGCATGGCCAGCCAAGTTACTACCTACTCGGCTGAACCAGTCTGGCACTTCTGCATTGGGGGAAAATCATTATGAACATTCATTTTAAGTTTTTCAAGATATCACTTTAAACCTGCAATAAGTGCTAAGGTAGTAGTCTACTTTAACTTTTGATAATGATTAAATTAAGTAATAAGTAAATTAATTGCCTCCAATCTGTCATCTTCTATATTTCATGTTGGGACTTCAAACACGCAACAAGACCCCAAAAGGTGGCTTATAGGTATAGTATATAATACCTATATAAGTTATAAGAAAAAAGCCAAATATATGTGGGAACATAGGAAAGTTCTTTATTTAAAGACATTAAAATTAAAGATGAGTAAAATTAGTTGTTCCAATGCTGTTCCAATCTGAAAGAGTTATTTCAAGCTTTTAAAAAACATCATTAGAATCGTCATCTGTGGTAGAAAAAGGCCATTTCAATTTCAAGCCAGTTATTCTGAATGAAGAATATTTTGTGAAACTGCTTATTAAGAGTGCAGGATGCTTTATTATAATCAGACATGATAGAAACTTTCCTTTCCTGTTTCAGGGAAGAGCTTCACATTGACTATCACAGTCTTCACGAATCCTCCACAAGTAGCCACATACCACAGAGCTATCAAGATAACAGTGGATGGGCCTCGAGAACCAAGAAGTAAGTATTCAGAAAACACTGGTGCTCTCTTCAATTATTCAAGCTTTATACAGTGTATAAAGTGAATGGAAGATAGAAATGATCCTGTTGATCCCATCTCTCTATATTTTTTTTGCCCACTAGCAGATTTTTGCCTCTCAATATTTGAAAGAGAATATCTACATCAAGGGGGCTCTGTAGTTATTTTGGTTGTCCATGTAATCTATTTATATACTATTAAAACTCTTGTCATGATCTGCAACGGGGAAAAAACAGCGCATCATAGGGCAACAGTTTTTGAACCAAAGTACCTCAAATAGAATAACTTATAGATTGTGTCCCAAATCCAGGACCTATGGCTCCCAAGGGAATTAAATTTGGGGAAGTTATGGCTGTTGCAGTTCTACTAGCTGCTGTTGCACTGCTGGGCTGCTGCTGCAGTCACCCAGTCTTCAATTTCAATGTTCTGTGACAGTTTCCCAGCTAGTCTTGCAAACCTTCACTCCTTCTCCCACCCAGCAGTAGCCATTTACCTGCCAGAAGGGAAGGGAATGAAAAATTCCAAATGTTCCACAATCACACTCAATGGGCAAACCAGAAGGAATTCAGAAAACACTCCTGCTCCCACTGGGGTTTTTTGTCCACCCTTAATCATAAATAAATTGCTCTGAAACAATGAGCCAATGGGCTCATGTCTAGTTCAGAAATAAAGATTAGAGCTCTAAAAATAATAAAAGCTTACATAATTTGAGAAAGCTCCATACTAAATACACACATCCTGCATATATATTATGGACAAAGAGTACTGGTGAGTGAGGGAAGAAAAGTCAGGGCATGCATTTAGTTCTCAGTCTCATGGTGAATTTTGTGAAGAGGAAACATAGGATGAGGATTTTGGCCACAGAATTCTGTACAGTACAATATTATGTTCTGTTCAGTAATGTGTTTAAATCAGTAAGTGCTAAACACATTGCTATACACAATTACCTAGTACAAAGGCTCTGTGAATTTAATGGATCATATTTCTGAGTAGAGATATGTGTGTTGCTAATTGCACTTAATCTACATAGAGAGTTAAATTCTTGTTACTCAGTTGTGTGTATAGAAATTGGAAAACCAGCCATTTATATGCTAAAACTGCAGCTATGTTTTGAATACTATGCTTGGAGGGGTATACCTAAAAGTCATGTATCTAGGAAAAAACTAATGTTGATTTAAGGTAATAGGGATACTATTCATAGTCTTCTTTGACATATAATATTGCAATTTTTAGCAACTTTCTGTAGGTCTCCAAGGGCAGTCACCAATGATTGTCACAAGGTTCTAAATGTGTCACAGTTATGGAGAAGAATATAAGGGGAGCTTATATTGGGATGGGAATGGGGGAAATCTGATAAACTTTTCACCATAAGCTCTGTACTGCATGCAAAAAATTGAAGTTGTAGAATAAAAAAAACCATGCACATTATTCAGCATTTCCTGCTCACTTTGCTTTCAGCTTTGCATAGGAAATTTAATTTTACAAACAAAATAGCCCCGTTTGGGCTCCCCTTAAAGCTAGCAAATAGAACAGAACTGAAGGAAGAAGTGAGGGAGCCAGACAACATGCAGCTGCTTTTATTGTCTCTCCTGCAAGTTAAGAAAACTGTAATTGTTGAGGGCAGGCAGCACTTCAAGGAGACAGATGGAATTTATTCCGCTGAGGCACAGATTTTCTCAGTCATGCCTGCCAAATTAAGAATGAGTAAATAATAAATAATATCTCAAGGGATGCATCCAGAAAATACATAAGCACAGTGTTAGAACACCCCCCTCCCCCCTCCCAGTCAATACATTGCTGAGCCTATGCAATGTTCCCTTGTTATTACCCAAGACAATAATTAACTTCAGTGTAGAATGGTCATATTTGAATCAAAACATCTTCTTGTAAGTTGAGGTTCGTGGTTTTCTTTGCTTACTCGTCCCTCACATTTAGCAGAAGTTGCAACTATAGCATAAGATAAATCAAAATGAGCAGAGTAAAGAAGTGAGTGCTCATGGAAATGACAACATTACAGTTAAGAACAGAAGAGCCAGTGGGTGTAATAGTTAAAATATTGCACTTGGACTGAGACCAGGTGTAGGTCCTAGCTTGACCATTCTGCTCACTGAATGATCACTCAAAACTAAAATACTTTTTATGTAAAATTATTAGAAGCTCTCCCATGGCACACTTTTTCCTCAATGAAAGTGCATTTTGAAAACATATAAAATTGCATTCATTCAAACAGAATGAATGAGTTGGAGAAATTGTCAGAATGATGTTATTTTCCATGGTAGTAAAGTTATGGAGCTACTTTTCTCTCAATAGAGTTTTCTATGATTTTATGATAGTTTTCTATGATTAATATTTTGAAGTAAAAGACGTTCTAAATCAAGGAATCTAGCAGATGCACAAGATTTATTTAGCTATTTCTCCCACTGATTCCAATTACATCATTTCTCAATTACTAAAATATATTTTGTATCATTGATTCTTTTAATCAGCACAATTCTAAACCTCTTGATCATAATCCACTATACTGGACTAGAATACAAAAACTGTTATGAGAAAGAAAACTGGCAGGTAGCATATGAGTGTACGTTAAGGTGACCAGACATCCCGCTTTTGACGGGACAGTCATGATTTTTAATAATTTGTCCCATGTCCCGCAGCGTGTTCAAAAAGTCCTGATTTTCCAAAAGAAAGAAAACAATTTTAAAAAGGACGCCGTTAAAAAAAAAAGTTTTTATTTCTCTTAAGTGTTGTTCCAAATGTGGCCTTTAGAGGGCAGTGGTTTCCCTCTCTCCGCTCGGCTCACTCACAGCGACCGACAAGGGGCAAGGCTCCCTCCCCTCCTGCCCGTGCGTGCGCCGATGCACGCTGTTTTTCTGCAAGCAGCGCGGCGAGGAGGAGGCTCGGTCCCGGGCCAAGTGGCTCAGCCGTCGGAAGGTTTTTCTTTTTTTTTTTGCCCGCTTCTCTTGGGCGCCGCTCTCCCTGCAGCCATTTCTCCCTCTTTCTCCTTTTCGTCCTTTCTCCTCCTTCCCCCCCAAAAGAGAATGAGAGGGAGAAAGAGGAGATGTGGGAGATAGTGGGATCACTGTTTTCTGAGCTTGGTGAGCAAGGATCCCCCACCCCACCTCCTCTTTCGGAAAGGGGAGGTGTGGGGGAGATTGTGGGATCGCTGCTTTCTGAGCTTGATGCAGCAAGGATCCCGCTATCCCCCACCCCACATCTTCTTTCAGAAAGAGGAGGTGTGGGGGAGGTAGTGGGATCGCTGCTTTCTGAGCTTGATGCAGCAAGGATCCCGCTATCCCCCACCCCACATCTTCTTTCAGAAAGAGGAGGTGTGGGGGAGAGAGTGGGATCGCTTCTTTCTGAGCTTGGTGCAGCAAGGATCCCGCTATCCCCCACCCCACATCCTCTTTCAGAAAGAGGAGGTGTGGGGGAGAGAGTGGGATCGCTTCTTTCTGAGC